CACTAGAGTCCTTTATGGGGCTATGCCCCAGCTGAATGACAAGATAGTTCAGTTGTTCACTCACAAACACAGCTGCAAACACAGCTTCAGTGATCTCTCCAAAAGCTCAAACTGTCCGGGGATGTATGGGGTGATTCCTGAAATTTGCCCTCAAGGGAACTTTTTAGGATTTAGGTACTACCTGACAATCAAATGCGGAATTAATTTCACTCAGCTCCACAATGAATTTTTTTTTTCTCACTGGCGTAAATTCTCACCACTTTTAGCTAACTTTCCGATCTTATTAATCAATTACTTAGAGCATGCCCATTGCTTTGACAGTTCTCTTGGAAAGAGATCAATGAAAGTTTGATATAAAGATTACATAGAAACATGAAAAGCTGCTTTTCACTGCTTTTCATTAATGTGTGAAATTTAGTCATGGAACAAAGAACAAAAACGTATGATTGACTCTTTATTTCAATCCAAGGTTATAAGAAAAAATCAATAGAAATAAACTCCAGGTATTTTACAAATTCAAAAAATACAGAATCCAGTGGTGAGAGTCTGATAGCTTTTCATCATTGGGCTTCCATATGGAAGGGACAGAGTTTATCCAGAACAACATACTGTATATCAAAAGTGGGGGAAAGGAGGGAGGGAGAAATTAAAGTCCAACAAGGGGTTGAAATAAATTAGAATTCAACCACTAATCCATTTTTAAAGCAAAAAGCAAAATAAAACAATAAATCCAAAAAGTGAAAGTTAATACTCAGACACCGTTAGAAAACAAAACTGCTTGACAGGGAGTTGTATATGCTTAGTGACTTTTCAATTGCTTGCAGAGGGAATTGGAATCTTTAAGACCCCCTTCCCCGCTGGGTCCACAATCCTCCAAAGATTGTCTTAGGTCACTCCTAAGTATTCCCATTTGAAACCAGGAAACAGCACTACCAAAGAACCAGCTTTGGCACTGAAATCAGCAGATCATCCGTAAGAGGAAAAAAGAAACTCTTACCACGCAGCAGCCATCTTGAGAGGAGGTGAATGGTTGTACAGTGTCTGACACTTAAGAAAGAAGGGTGGGAAAATATGCAGCCTCCAGCTGGATTTCTCTTTTAAAAGCTTGAACAAACTATAATCATTGTCCAAAATAATTTAAGCTCTGAACAAAGCTATACAAATGTGAATAAAGCTATACAAAAGGACTTTAATCTGGTTCCAGGTCAAGGACACAAGTCTCATGGCTGGAGAACCAGCAAAGTGGATTTCATCTGTTGTTCTGAAGTTTAAGTCTGTACATTTCTTCAACATCACGGAAGGGAGAGAGACAAATTTCTTTCCTCTGTAAGGTCCCAGAAGTTTCCCTGAGCCACCGAGATGCCAAAGAGTGCGACTCGAGATGAGGCTTGCAAAATAAGAGCTTTTTTATTCTTTGGCCAAAGCAAAAAGTCTGGGTGAATACTATGTCCAAAACATACAGACAAAATGCATGTAAGGAATAGCCACACCCTGCGAGAGTGGCTCAGAGTGTTATATACGTTTTACGCTGATAGAAACAAAGTTTATCCAATCAGAGACAAAGTTTTGTTCTTAATGTGGGCAATGTCTTGCTCATGCCCTCCCCTTCCTTATCCATGGAATGTTCTTTGTCCGTGCTCTTGTCCATACTTTGTTATTTTACACAGTATCCCTTGTCCTTGTGTGTTCATGCTCCTATGCAGCCCCCCCCCCCTTATCTATGGAGCAGGATGTTCCTGGGAATTGTCTCCAAGGATGTGTCTAGCTCTGAAGCAAATTGCAGAGGCGAGAAACAAGATAGAAAAGGATACAATTCTCTTGCAGAATGAATTCCTAACAAATGATTTCCATCCTTAGCAAAATAATACAAACAACTTCTTTAACAGATGCAAAGAGCAAAGGTTAGATTGATTCATGTCAAAATGTCCTTTCACCTCTATGAAGATGGAGGGAGACTAGATGGATTTATTGCAGTTAACTGGAAGCTACTTTTGCTTGCACTTTGATTGAAAGATAGACCTATTCTGGAGACAGAATCTGCTATATTTAATTAAACAACAGAAAGAGATTATATTAAGAAATAAACATGGTTATTTGACCCAGGGTGATCTATTTATAACTTTTAGAATGATTTGGGATAGATAAGATGCCAGGGGAAATTTTCTATAAGTGGATTACAGTAACAGCTTGCTAACAGTTTTGAAACTTTAATTTTGTTCTGTTTTACTATTATTGTTCTTCCTGTTAACTGCTTTGTCATTAATATAACATATAGAAAACAGATCAATACATTTCAAATAGATTTAGTCAGGGGTGGGATTCAACCGGTGTTACTATCGGCTCAGTACTTACGCTTTTTTTTTTTTAGCTTTGTATTTTAAATTGGTTTTGGATGAAATAAAATATATATTTTTTTAAAAAGAAACAACCTGTTTTTTTACATCTTTTATATTTGATAATCTAACAATTGTGGAAATACCTTCAAAAGAGATAATATGCATTACAATGGTGATACTTTGTTGTTACAAATGGATTTTAAATTTGACTTCTTGTCTTAACCTTCTCATTTCAGGTCTTGTTTTTTCTCATGGTGAGAACTGGAAAGTGATGCGACGATTCACATTATCCACATTACGGAACTATGGAATGGGCAAGAGGACTATTGAAGACAAAATCATTGAAGAGTGTAATGTCTTGACAAAGACAATTAAAGCTAATGCAGGTGGGTTGTCATTTCCCCCTAATGCTTTACTGGGTAGCTTTCAGGACAAATGAAGAGTGTGAAATCATAATACCTTAAGAGACAGAGCAACTAGAATGCTGCCAAGGAATCAGCAGGTAAAAGGCAGCTTAGAGCACAGTAGAAATGTGGGTAGGGCAAGAGGCTCAGAAAAGGTCTTCCTTAGCTTTTGGGGCTGGAAAAGTGATGGATGGAGAGAAGCAGTTTCAGACTTACAAAATTCTGTTAGTGTAACTGTACAATAAACTAGAATTAGCTCATCTGATCATGTTTCCTGTCTGGTCTATCTAATAAGCTGACAGGATATCAACATCCTTTCTGGTAATATTCGTCGTGGGAATAGTTTCTTATTTCAAATTCTTGAATAGTTAGTTTTGTACAATCGAACAATCTCTTACAAATGAACATTTTAGGCTTACTAATTTGTTATTGTAATGTCCCAGAAGTTTCCCCAAGCCACTGAGATGCCAAAGAGACTGAGACTCGAGACAAGGCTTGCAAAAAAATAACAGCTTTTTATTTATGGCCAAAGCAAAAAGACTGGGTGAAACTATTTCTAAACCACAGGCAAAAAAGAATGTAAGGAATAGCCACACCTCTGGGAGAGTGGCTCAGAGTATTATATACATTTTTCCAGTTAGAAACAAAGTTTACCCAATCAGAGACAAAGGTTCATTACCAACGTAGGTCTTTATCTTCAAAGGTTTCATTGTTGAGGCCCCTGTCTCTGCCCTCCTTGTCTATGGATCATCCTTATAGCCCTGGGGAGGGGGGGTGGAGGGGGGATTTTCCCCTCCTTGGCCAAGTTTTTTATTCAGCAGAATGCTTTCAGGCAACTCCCTACTCTGATTTCTTTATCTATGGGCCTGATATTCTTGGATAACAATTTCTGTTTTCAAGGATGCGCCTAGAGAGAAATAGAAGCAAGATAACAACTTTGCACTAACCCCAACCAGTATCAAAGTTACAATTTACTAAGCTAGAATTAGTTCCTAAGAATTAATTTCTGACATTATAAGCAGGAGCCAATAACAAAGATAAATTCTTAACAAATGATTTCTAGCAGTATACCATATCAGAAGCAAACAGCAAATATTGGTTTAATCCAGCGGTTCTCAACCTGTAGGTTGTGACCCCTTTGGGGGTTGGACAACCCTTTCACAGGGGTCGCCTAAGACCATCAGAAAACACATATTTTCTATGGTCTTAGGAACCAAGACATCTCTCCTCTATCCATCAGCCTGGCATATTCTACTTCCATTGTCCCCCACTGCTGGAAGGTGAGTGTCCACGCGCAGCCCAACCATAAGTAGGCACACAACTTTCGCAGCTGGCCAGGTGAAGTGCTCCTGGGCAGCAGCCAGGCTCCCACAGCCAGCTCTGTGCTCAGGCACCCCACCTCGGGCAGAGGCTTGGCCGTGGATGGTGAGGAGAAGCAAGCGGGGCCGCTTGGACAAAGGGCAGCTTGGCTGCTAGAAAGCTTGCCTGCCACTCAGCCCGGCCTCACACGTGTCTGGCCGGGTGCAGCCCCCCTGCTTCCTCCACAGTCAGAGAGCACAGAGAGGCCAAGCCTGGAGGCTGCGGCTGCCTCCTGCCACCCAGATGCTCCTGCTTCACCTGTAATCGGAAGGAGGAGGAAGCGGTGCTGGGGGGGCTGGCCGGGGACACCATCAATCTGCCCTTCTGGGCCAGGTGAGGAAGGAGCCCAAGGAGGGGAGGGGCTTCCCACAGGAGAAAGACCAGCCCCACTGCCCTTCTCTTGATGGTGACAGAGGGAGACGGCCTGGAACAGGCTGGCCAATGCTCCCAGCCTGGCAGGGGTAGGAAGAGCAGAGTTGTCCCAAGGCCAGGAATCCCCTTCCCAGCAACTGCTCCTCCAAGGCTCGCCATTGGGGGCTCTGGGAAGTGCTGGACAGGCAAGTGGCACCAGGGCGAAGTGCTCCGTCTCTGGAGAGGCATCCGCATGGGTGATAAAGTTTTACCTGGGTGGGCAAAGGGGCATTGTGAGCCCCATGGGCAAAAGGGGTGCCAGGGCTGGAACAAGGTGGGTGGTTTCCTCTGTTTGGGCCCAACCCAGCCACTCTCCCAGCCAACCTCAGCAAAGGCTAACGTAGGCAGCTCAGCATCCCTCCCTCACTGCAGCCCCCCCTCTGCCCAAGAGGCTGGAAACAGCCCAAGAATCCTGCTGCCCCTGCAGCCGCTGCCTGGCCTTGGGGCCAAAAGGCCATTGGGTCCCCTGGAAGAGGCTGAAGAAACCTGGTTCACAGGGGCATAGAAGGGAGGGAAACCCTATGGGAAGTGGCAACAGAAGCCAAAGGGTAGTGTGGAAAGGGCCCACAGGGGACCTCCAGGGTCTCCCCCAGGTCCTTTCCTTGCAACTTGAGCCAGAGTCTGGCTCCCCTGTGGCCAGAACCCCTTGGCCTATGCTGGGCTCGCTCGTGGGGGGTCCTGGGGCCTTTCTCCCACACAGAGGAACAGGGAGTGGCACTGCCTGGGCGAGCATTCTGGGGGCTTCCCTCAGGCTGCTCCCCATCCGACTCCAGCACCGAGGCTCTGCTGGGGGAGGGGGCTTTGACCCCAGGGCTCCCGCCTCCCCCGCAGGCCGCAGTAGCAAAATTACAGTTTAGCAATGAAAATAATTTTATGATTGGGGGTCACCACAACATGAGGAACTGTATTAAAGGGTTGCATCATTAGGAAGGTTGAGAACCACTGGTTTAATCAAAAACAAATATATAGTAGCATAAGCAATTCATAATAAAAGCAAATAGCCAATATTACTTTGATCACTATACTTCTTCAGTATAATATAAGGGAGGGTTGCTAGAGTATAATTATCCATATAAGGATAGAAGCTTGTTGTGAACTGGAGTTGTTGCTCCTTCCTACTTTAGGTCAATAATAATAATGTTTCAGTTTCTCAAAGAACATAAACACATCATCTAGGTGCATAAAATGATATACTGTACTTTATACTCTACCAATTTCTCCAACAAAAGTACTGTGTATTAATTGTCAACATTGAATTCCTCTGTATGATAATTTCAGTTCAGTTATAAGTATCAAATTGAAATTGGGACACTTATTTATTTATTTACCAAACAGATTTATTTGACTGCCAAATGCACACACAGTGACTCTGGGTAATGTACAACATTCCTCACTATTCATCATCATACCTAATTGATACCCTGTATAGAGAGAAAATCATTCCATATTTTCCAGAATATTGATCCCTGAACCCCTCCCACTTCCCAGTTTATAAAATATGTTGGATGAGTCTAACACACAATATCAGAGCTGCAAAAATCAGCATAACTATGGGATAGCAGCAAAGAGATAACCATTGGCATATATGTTTGTTTAAACTTTTGCAACCCAGAATAGCAATATATTTATGTTCAATGATCTGAGAATTTTCGTATGAAATAAAATATAATCTCTGGGTACTGATTGTTTAAATGGTAAATCTGTTGTTAAAACGGGCATAATCTGAAATTAAAATGTAATTATTACCAGAACATTCATTTTTATCACAAAATTCTCCCCAAACAATTCATAGTTTTCAATGTTTCCATTTTTCCATATTAAAATGACTTTTCAAATTTCATTCCTTAAAATCATTATTTTAAAATAACATACAACTCATATTTGTCTTAGTAATATCCAAATATTACTTGAAACCAGTTTTTCCCCTCAGTTTGATTTCATCTTCTGGTTTCATATTTTTTGTTACCATTTTAGTCTTCTGGCTATTAATCTTGAGACTTGCTAATAAAGTAAAGTCCTTTAATTTTTCCATTCTCAAATCTGTCTAGTGGTATTTCTAGAATTAATGCCAAGCCATCCACATTCTTTTAAAATCTTCACTCCAATAATTATCTGTTCTTGTCTTCAAATGCTGTTTTATCTTCATTTAGGCTATAAATTCTCAATATGAAAAGTCTTAGCTACCTGTAGATTAACTTCCACCCCAACATTAGCCATCCAGGAGTGGCATGGATCTAATGAACAAGTGGCTGTGCTAAAAGTCATGAAGACCCTGGCCACTTTGAATATGAGGGATTCATCAGGCTCAAACAGTTAACAAAGACTACTCTCTAGGCGTCTTCACAATTTGATGTAAGAGCAAATCTGAGCTATTTTATCTGTGACGTACTCTGCAAATTCCTTTGCTCAGCCCTGAACAAGGACAATAGATTTTCGCCCACCCAACGAACCCTCTCATCCATGATTAAACTATATATGAGGGAGGCCTTATTACAGACTGACCAGACATTTAATAACAGCAGCCAAAGCCAGGGCCTCTGTAAGTCTGCTGCTCAGGAAATAGGGTTGGGTTTAGGGAGCTCACACTTGGATAGAATTTTCCAAAAACATCCTATCTCCCCTCTCCCACCATACCTCCTCTGTAACCACTGAGATATACTAACCACCCCTAATCCCCAGGTCCCAATATCCCCCAACCTAGTTCCCCAAATAGGGGATCCTTGCCCAGAATCACTCTGAAACAAGATGGGCAGCAAATAAATGTAATAATAAAAATAAAATTCCCACATCTCTCAACCAAATATATGCAACTGAAGGGACAGGAGTAATCTAGGTCCCTGGGCATTTTAACACTCATTCTCAGTGCCCAGGAACACAAACACTACCCTTTATTCGTCAGCTACTCAGCCTCTCCACAAAGATATTACATGTAGACTACACAAAGATCCCATGGTCTTACCAGAAGAATCAGTGCCTTACACAGGGAGAATCAATCTTTGCCCACAATGTTACCTATAATCAGAGGATAACATTCAGACAACAAAATCTGACAGAACCACAACATGATCTTCACACCATCCTTTCTGGTGTGATGAAGAATGATGAGGACAAGATGATTCCCATACAGTGATCCACAACAAGAACAAGTCCTCCACTGTTACTAATTCTTCCCAGTTCATTCATCCAATATCATCTTGCTCTGATTTCCCAAAAAGAGAAGCAAAAGCTCTCCATTAAATAAGCTATAGGGAACCAGTCCTCAGCAAAATCTACTTAAGTGTCAAGCTACCACCATAATTAAGAAGCCAAATTTTGCTAGCTTGTGACTGGGCACCACTGCTGCCTAACACATAACCTCCCTCACCACCCCAGGAGAAACTCTCCCCCAACTTTTGACTATCAACACAGGCAAAACACTCCTGTTGCTACTGCTTGCTGTCACAAAAAGAAAACCTTCAGGACTGCCACCAAAAACCAGGTCTCTACTACCACTCATTCATTCATTTATTTATTTTATTTATTTATTTGATTTGTCAATCACTTACATGATAATAGGTATAAGTATAAACATACAGTAGTTATGAATACATGAAATGGATACATGTAAGAAAAATAAAAAGAATCAATAGGACAGGGACAGTAGACACGATGGTGCACTTATGCACGCCCCCTACAGACCTCTTAGGAAAGGGATGAGGTCAATAGTAGACAGTCTAAGGTTAAAGTTTTGGGGGTTTGGGGAAGAAACCACAGTCAGATAGTGTATTCCAGACATTTGTTTTGTTCTTCTAAGTTGGCTTCTTCTTTATAGAACTCCTCCCCCTCTGGTTTATTGTGTTCTTGTGTATGCTGAGTCACCATTTCTAATTTCTGTAATACATAATTACACACTTCAAGTTTAATTTTTATCATGTCCCTTGTATCTTGCATATCTGGTCTTATGTCTTGTAAGTCCAGTCTTATATCAACAAGTAGCTCCTCCATTATACCTTCTCCTTTTTTCTTTTTCTTTCCTTTTCCTTAATAGTTGAAATCCTCTTCTTTGATAGATATATTCAATCCAGAGTCCAGTATCTTATTTCAGCCAATATCTTTTGAGTTTATTTTCAACAATTCATACTCTTGAATCTTTATTCCAAATCTTCTAATTAGCCTCCCAACTGTTTCCCAAATTACTGGGTTGTTCTATGACAATAATAAAGTTCCTTTTATTTTCTTTCAAGTTCCAAGATCCAAAGTCTCAGAAAGACCAGACGCTTGTTTTAAAACATATTAAAGTTTTCCTATACCATCAGGTGGCGCTCTTGAGTCTTTTTCTTTTTAACTTTCTTTGTTGAACATGATGTTTTTATTAAGTTCGCTAATTTCAACCATTAGCTATTCTTTTCAACACACTCAATTCCAGCATTTAGTTATGCCCTTTAAGTGCACACAATTCAATATCTGTCCAGTTTAATTTTTAAACCTTTGTTGTTTTAATGTATTTTCTTTTAAATTTCTCCTACAGATTAGTCCAGTAAAATAAACAAATCCAAATTTAAAAACCCATTTTCTTTCTCACTTTCTTTGGTCGCCGCTTCCACACACTTTCCTCCAAAATAGCCCTTTAATTCGATATGGGGGTACCTCAAAAGCAATGTCCTTTGCCTGGTTCACACTCTGCCTGCTACTTCTCTCTCCAGCACAAAACTTAGTTTCCCGGAATGTTCTTTGTCTTCATAGTGGCCATTTTAAGACCACTGCTGCAGCTTGCCTTCGGGAGGGATTTTCCTGTCAGGGACAGGAGTTGCAGCTCTTCTCACCCCTCCAGGTGATTTCCCCCTTCTTCACCACCCCACCAGGGTGGTTCCAGTCCCAATCGGGACCTTCCAGCAAGAGAGCTCGGGCGAAACCATGCACGATCACGGATTCCGCAATGACACCGACGAGGAACAAACCGGAAGTCAAGTATTCCAGACATTGACCACTCTGTTGCTGAAGTGGTATTTTCTGCAATCAAGTTTGGTGCAGTTAACCTTGAGTTTGTATTTATTGTGTGCTCTTTTATTGTCATGGTTGAAACTGAAGTATTCATTGACAGGTAGGACGTTGCAATGTATGATTTTATATAGTATACTTAGATCAGACTGAAGGCAGCATAGTTCTAGGTTTTCTAAGTCTAGAATTTCAAGTCTGGTGGCATAAGGTATTCTGCAACGAGTAGAGGAATGGAGAACTCTTCTTGTGAAATATTTTTGGACTTTCTCAACTGTGTTAATATCAGATACGTAATGTGGGTTCCGGACTGATGAGCTGTATTTGAGTAGTGGTCTAGCAAATGTTTTGTATGCTCTAGTTGGTAGTGTGAAATTACCAAAGAAAAAGCTACGTAGGATTAAGCTAACAACTCTTAATGCCCTTTTGGCTATGTAGTTACAGTGGGCTTTAGCACTTAGATCATTAGATCAGCTGCCAGCTGCATTGCACCAGTAAGCATAATCGAGTAAGCTTCCTCCACCAGGGTTCCTGGTGCAGCTCCCACCAGTGATGTCAATCAGCAGAAGCAAAGAACCAGTACATCTCTCTCTTGTCACTGCCAACAGCCTGAAAAGAAGTCTGAATCCTGAAGTCCAGCACATTGGACCAAGGTCTGACTCAGTAAACTGGTGCTCCACCAGAGTGTGCCAAACATAACCAGATAGGCTCCAGAGTCTCCACCATGCCTCTCATGCCTTCCTCCAACAATCCCACTCAATGTAACCCAGCATTTCCCAACCAATACCCTACAATAATCCAAACTGAAATATTTTTGAAACTTGGCAGCCATCTGCTGTTTAAAACTGTGATCATTTAATGAGAATATATCCAGAGTTTACCCTTAAGGACTTCCTCAATTGCAAAGAAACCATTACTGATGTATGAACAATAAAAATACAGTTGTGCCTCTGTGACAATCAGTTTCCATTCAAGTAGTTGTTCACATTTTTAAATTCAAATACCTTCTATTTTATCAGCACTGACTGCAGTTTCTATGATATGCTCCCTTTATGTAAGCTGATTTTGACTCTAAATTCATTAGCAATTGTGAGAAGTACATAAAAATGAATCAACAGACTTTTGATAATCTGATCCATAGGAAGCTTTATTAGGAAAATACTGCAGTATGGACCCCTTGACTCTAAAACCATGTTTAGGAGAGAAGGAGGCACCCCCATTTAGTGAATACAGCTTATATAGGTTTATCAAATCACATGGTTACATAACACTTCCTGTTTCCCATATATGGACATTATACAACGGTTTCATAAGAAAGTTCCAACCTTCCATGGACAACTCCCAACATTGTCATTATAGTCAGATTTCCTGTTATTCAAATTCCAGAAGATTATAAGAGAACATTAATACCTCTTAATGTGATTTATAATGTATGCGCCCCAGCACATACCTCTAACTTATGCCAAGTACATAGTTTTGCAATCTTGTATTTTTTTCTAGCAGAAAACACATTACATCAATGTTCTGAGCTTTAAAAGTTCAGACTGTGAACACAAAATGGCTTCAGTTCGGCTCTTTATATTCTCAGGTGTAATAACCAAATTTTCAGCAACCATTCAGAATTCTGTTTTGATCTATTGTTTGTTGTCCAGGAAAGCCATTTGAAGTCCAAACAGTTATAACTGCTGCTGTTTCCAACATCATAGTTTCTATTCTACTTGGGAAGCGCTATGACTATGAAGATCCCACATTTCTACGACTTCTGAAAATAATCAGTGAAAATGTACATCTTACAGGGACCCCAAATATATTGGTAATCTAATATTTCATTTGAAGAAAAAATGTGTGAAGTGTAGGCAGATGTATGTCATTTTGCTTTATTGCTAAGCAAAGCATGTTGCTTGTCATAGCAAGATTGTGTTCAAATAATAAAATGAACATGATATCATGATTCAAATTTTATATAGTTGCATTGAAATATCTGATGTAAGTATGCAAGTCACTTTTTTCGGCTGTGACATCACTGACTGTCTCTTCTTTCTATAAGCAAATGTCCATGTTACTTGTGAATGCACTCAAATTGTAGGGTTGGCAGCCTTCTATTGAAAATGCCATTTCAATCTCTTTCCCTCTCTCACACACACAAACACACTTTACTCCACAACTCGAAAAGTACTACATAGTTTCCTTGATTTGAACTTGCATTCAGTTTCTTAGACTGACCATTCTCATTGCTTGTTTGGGAATCAACAGGATGCGAGTGTGAGGAACTCATTTAAGAATATATTGAAAAATGAACATTTCTTCTTCCAGTAATTGTATGGAGGTTTAGTTCATGAGATTTGGGCTTTAGTGAATTTGAAATATTGACTATGTATAGCTTCCTCAATTATCTGCTTTTGCTTATTATTGGGGTTTATTTTTGTTGACTTATGGAACATCATTTTCATTAAAATGCTTTAAGATGTCTGACAACTGTATTCAGATTATTCAATGTTCTTAATATATATATATATATATTTCTTCATCTTTCTTTCAGCTATATAACATGTTTCCTATGTTGGGCTTCCTTTTGGGTGCACGTAAAAAAGTAACAAATAACAGAAAGGAGTTCCATGATTTCCTACAGACTACCTTCATAGAATATCTCAAAAATCTTGATGAAAATGACCCAAGGAATTTTATTGATTCATTTCTTATTCGGCAAAGAGAGGTAATGAATTATTTTATATATGCCTTGAAGTACAAGTGTTTTTAGTATTTTTACATGTGATTGGTGAAAATTATTGCTTTAGAAATTTGTGCGTGTGTCAACAGGAGGGGGGACCAAATTTGTTGTCCTTTCTAATCATTCTTTGTTTCAGAGCCTGCAATCATGTCAATTATAGCCAATTTACTGTGTTCTTGTTATTATTGTTGTTGTTTGCATTGAAGAGACCTTCAATATATATATTCTGATCAAACCTTTGGTGGGCCAGTTGATTTTTTTTTTTTTTTTTTGTATAACCATTTTATTGTATATAATCAGGTACATCAGGGAGACAACAGAGAGTGTGAGCTGGAGCAGGCCTGGAATAAATATTAAAATCTTCAGACTGGGGAAGAGATAGTGGAGGATTGCAAGTTGACTTTTGCAGGGGATGGAGGGCAGCTAATAGTTGGTGTCCCTTAAACAATGGTTTATTTTATGAAACACCTGAAAAATAGCAGTGTTCTTTGAAAATGTTGTTGAAGTCCAAGCTGATAAACAATAAATTTTTATTATGGCCGTTAGATCAGAAAACACTACATAGAAGCACATAGACCTAAAATTATAGATAAGAGTAAAAAGTAGGCATAAAATACAATAAAATGACATAAAAATAACATTAACATGATAAAATAAAAATAACAACAATGATCACCAAGTTCAGTGCTAATCTTCAGTCGTTTAGCATTAGATCTTCCCATGCTATGTAGCATATCAGGCAGCGAGGGACTTCTAGTACTTTTGGTTTGGGATGAGTACATCAGTGTCTTCCCATATGATGTTTAAAGTCTTTAAGTTGTCTATGAACATTCTTCACCATATATTGTGAGGGCATTCTCATTATTGTTTGGCACCAAAGGGGATCCATCTCATTGCCCATCTTGGAAATCTAATTATTCTCCCTAATGAAGTATATGATCTGCATGTTCAAGTTTTCTGGGTGCATTATGTTATGTACAGGTAAAAGTAGAAAAATTAGAATATCGTGCAAAAGTTCATTTATTTCAAATATATGAGATAGACTCATTACATGCAAAGCAAGATAGTTCAAGCCGTGATTTGCCATAACTGTGATGATTATGGCTTACAGCTCATAAAAACCCCAAATCCCCAATCTCAGAAAATTAGAATATTACATGCAATCAATAAAACAAGGATTGTACATAGAACAATATCGGACCTCTGAAAAGTATAAGCATGCATATGTACTCAGTACTTGGTTTGGGCCCCTTTTGCAGCAATTACTGCCTCAATGCAGTGTGGCATGGAAGCTATCAGCCTGTGGCACTGCTGAGGTGTTATGGAACACCAGGATGCTTCAATAGTGGCCTTCAACTCTTCTGCATTGTTCAGTCTCATGTCTCTCATCTTTCTCTTGGCAATGCCCCATAGATTCTCTATGGGGTTCAGGTCAGGTGAGTTTGGTGGCCAATCAAGTACAGTAATCCCACGGACATTGAACCAGGGTTTGGTGCTTTTGGCACTGTGGGCAGGTGCCAAGTCCTGCTGGAAAATGAAGTCAGCATCCCCATAAAGCTTGTCTGCGGAAGAAAGCATAAAGTGCTCCAAAATCTCCTGGTAGACGGCTGCATTGACCCTGGACTTAATGAAGCACAGTGGACCAACACCAGCAGATGACATGGCTCCACAAATCAACACAGACTGTGGAAACTTCACACTGGACTTCAAGCATCTTGCAATGTGTGTCTCTCCATTCTTTCTCCAAAAGAAAGTTGCCCTCATCAGAAAAGAGGAGTTTGGATCACTGAGCAACAGACCAGTTCTGTTTTTCTTTAGCCCTGGTAAGACACTTCTGACGTTTGTTGTTCAGGAGTGGCTTGACAAGAGGAATACGACATTTGAAGGCCATCTCCAGGATCCATCTGTGTATGGTGGCTGCACTGACTCCAGCCTCAGTCCACTCCTTGTGAAAGTCCCCAACACTTTTGAATGGCCTTTTCCTGACAATCCTCTCCAGGCTGCGGTCATCCTTGCTGCTTTTTCTTCCACACTTTTCCCTTCCACATAACTTTCTATTAATGTGCTTTGATACAGCACTTTGAGAACATCCAACTTCTTTTACAATTACCTTTTGAGGCTTTCCCTCCTTATGGAGGGTGTCAGTGATGGTTTTCTGCACCACTGTCAGGTCAGCAGTCTTTCCCATGATTGTGATTCCTACTGAACCTGACTGATAGACCATTTAAAGGCTCAGGAACCCTTTGCAGGTGTTATGGCTTAATTAGCTGATTAGAGTGGGACACTTTGAGCCTAGAATATTGAACCTTTTCACAATATTCTAATTTTCTGAGATTGAGGATTTGGGGTTTTCATGAGCTGTAAGCTATAATCATCTCAATTATGACAAATCACGGCTTGAACTATCTTGCTTTGCATGTAATGAGTCTATCTCATGTATTAGTTTCACCTTTTAAGTTGCATTACTGAAATAAATGAACTTTTGCACGATATTCTAGTTTTTCGAGTTTTACCTGTATGTTGCAGGAGAAACTCTTTTGGAGCACTTCTTCTTTAGTAATATGGTCAAAATAGAGAGTCTTTAGGGTTCAATGAAAGCATCATTGTTGGAAGACATTGTGTCTCTTGTTAATACTCGCTGATACCTTCCAAGTCTCACTGGCGTAAAGAACTTCAGTTATAAATAATCTACAGTCATAGGGGGAATAAATAGAACAAACATAGGCATAAAATTGGGTAACTGAAAAAATACATCAGAGTCCTGGTCAGATAGAAGTGACAGATAAGCATGATAGTTTTTTGTTTTTTTTAAGATGGGATAGATGAATGTCTTCTGATATTCACTGGAAAAAGAGCAGGAAAGGAACATGTTGCTCCCCAGAGCTGTCCCCACATGGAAATATACACTGCTGAAGTGAGATGCTTGTAAAACGTTCCCACAGGACTGTGGAGGGAAGCAGTCCAACCTGGCCAAGGTGAAGGATGAAGGAGAGAGGGGATGATAGCACGTGCCCACAATCTATGAATTGTGGGGTTGGGTACCAGACTTACATTGGTTTGGAAACCAGTACCCAAGTACATTGCCCTGGATGATCAATGAAAAGAAAAACTTTGCATTTTCTGTGTCATCTCTCTTCTATTGTCACTAATTGTCTCAGTCTTCATAAATGGCACATGTTTAAAAGAAACACATCTTTTTCTATGCAAGTATTCGGCAAATAGATGGGTGGTTTCAAAATATGATACATAAATAAGCAAAATTAAATAATGGCAGTTGTCATTTCTTTTCAGAAATTACTTTCTTGTTCACATACATCCATTTTATGTTAGATGAGAGAATAACATTTTCCCCCAGGATCACATTCACAATTTGCTGCAAAACCTTTAACAATTTCTTCATTTCACACAATTCTTGACTCTATCAATGTTAGCTTAATGATGATTCAAAACATCTTGGAAGAATTTGCAGTATAATATTCGGAACATTTATATATTTTTTCAAGTCTCTTATGTTTCAAACCACTATCAGTGTATATGATAAATAGAAAGTTTTGGTATAAATGCAATGATCATAATAATTCCTATCATAATAACAACAAATTAAACAAACCAATACGGTAACCCATTCTCCCTTTCTACAGTTTTTTAAAATTTTTAGTACAGAAAATTAAAATATAAGTTCGGGGAGGGGGGATTTTACAAGAACAATACCAAACTAAATAAAGACATTAAAATGTGAAAAGACAAAAAAACAAAAACACATATTATCCTTCCCAGCTGAGCACTGACAAATATATTGCAACAGTAATAGCTTTCTTCCACTGCAAGTCAGGTTCAAGATTTATAAACTTCTAGTTCTATTTCCAGCCATTGACCTGTTATACATCTAGCTATTATAATAGTTAACCAGTTAATCAACAACAAACTAACTCTTGTAAACAACCTGTTGTGTAATTAGCTCATAGAAATTCTACAAGTTTCTTATCTACCACAAATCACTCCAATCATTATCTCTAATCCATAGAAGATCAAATATCCTTGTTTGATTCTTATTAAGTCATAAATCTCCGTTGTAAATGTCTCTGCAGCATCCATTGTTTAAAAGGTCCCTCTGGAGGCACAGGATTCATCTTTCAGAAAAATCTAGTCCATCACTTATTATGTTATTATTATAACATATCCATTATATCTGAATTTCTTGTATTCATGTCCTCATCAATCTTTTCTGCCGATCTGTAATTTTTAGACCAGGTTCTTCCTTCTTCATGTCTGACACAAACAAATCAGATTCCAATTCATCAAATTGAAGATCAAGTCCAACTGTTATTTTCCGCTTTGGGGTATCATCCTATACTTGATTTAGAACCGTTGTTAACCCATCAATCTTTTTTGTGTATAACTTTTTTTTAAAAGGCTATAAGTTAGAAAGCATTCTTTTTTCAAAATCTTCCCAGAAAGCTTTATCTCCATTTTGAAAAACACACTTTTCCTTCCAAGGAAAGAGAAATGGATACATCATTAAAACAAGAGAGAGAGGTAAGTTAATTTTTTATCTCCATAGAGATAAGGTAATTTTTCCCCCAGGGTGAAAAGTAATCAGAAGAAAGGAAATTTCCCATTTCTTTCTTTCTATAAAAAAATATGGTAAAAATAAAATCCTTATAATCCAATGTAAATTGGGTGACTTTCACTACCAGAAAATGAATTATGACTTCTTACAGAAAGTGGAAATGTTTTATAGTTCAATAATAAACAATGAGAGAACAAAGAAAAAATTGTAAAGAGTTGTCAGATAAGTCAGAAATCAACTAGACCATTAAAGTACAGATAAAAACATAGAGACATTTTATAAGTGCAATTAAAATCAAGGCATGTTTAAAACAAATGAACAGCTGAAGGGCAAATATAGTTAAAAAAACCTGACCTTCTAATTGCTCCTTGCCAAGAATTGCAATTTTCAAGATCTCTTTACTCCGAAGTCTCAT